ATAAAAAATCAATAAAGAAGTTAGGTTATAAAAGAGTGCGCTTAGAAAAAGCTATTAATCATAATTATGTAAACGGTACAGAGGTAAAATAATGGAAATTTTGAAAAAACGCTTGAAAAATTCCAAATTCAGCGGATGCAAGCTGCATAGAAGTACAACCCACATGATTTTCGAGATAAAATGAATAAAATTTCTACGTACCTTAACAATTTTCACTTCATGGGCTGATACGGGGTTCACAAAAGTAAAAGCAGGGAACTCTCGCTTTTCATTGGCTCTCGCGTGGCGTCATTTGATACACAAAAAAATAACATTTGCTTTGACTACGGATCTGACCGCGCAAAACTCGACCTTAACGCCCCCCACCCTTAGGTCGACCGCCATTAGACGTTTAGGAGCCTTTTAAACTAATCACCTTCGGTAATTTTAAATTTATTTCATTCTAATATACACATAATAATATAAAAGGCACTTAATTTAATTGAAAGACCATAAATTAGGAACATTCCATAGTGGCTAACGAGTCGGAATTCTCATTCAGTATCGGTATTTGCACGGGAGGATTATCGACGGTATACGAAGACCCCGCTTCGGAGTTAGTGGCACCGTCTTGCGTCGTCGATTCCTCCCAGTTGATCTTAAACCGGGTGACCCTCGGCTCGGATGCGAGTATATTTCGAATAACCTACGAAAACACTCAAATCACCGCCTACACCTCGTCACCTACACACCTTATCGAACTGCGGAGGACTCGGGGCGTTTTCTCTAAGTTCTAAATCGCTATATTCGTTATTGATAAAGTAGCCTACTCTAATAAATTCCTGCGTTCGGTACGAACAAGTCAGTAACACTACGGTGACTCCGATCGCGTCGTTCTCCGGGATCCTTGTGACATCGGGAGGGTCGGCCTAAAACGCGATTACACATTTCGCCTATTGACAAGAGCGGCGACCTACCTGAAAGACGAACATGTGTTTTCCTTCGGGAACGGGACCCACGTACACCGAATCCAGGATCTGATCGTACTCTTCACTTTCGGCCGAACCGACGTAGATCATCTTCCATTCCAAATCTGCAAACAGTCTCACATCTAACAACGAAATCGCGCTTGTGGCTTACCCTCTTTCAGTTCTTCGATGCACTCGAATGTGATTTCGAACTGGAATGGGTTTAAGAAGGGGCTGGGGTTATCCATAACTGTTATGTTGCAAAGTTGCACTTTTGCCATTTTAGCTGGAATAAGTTGGGCCCCCTAGCGCAATAACAGATATGTTTCAAAGGACTGATGAGAGGCGAGGTGACAAATAGCAAGCAAACCTCAACTGCAGGTTTACCCGCTAAAAGTAATCAGGTTGAAGTTGGCGTTCATCTGTCAGATGTGTGCAACTGGCTAACTTCAGGTTGATAAAACAAATCAAATAAATGTACAGGGTGTACACGCGTTTGTGTATTAGACGCTGCAAACATTGTACAGTACATCTGTCACAAGATCTTTTTCATATAAGTTGTAGGTTCATAATACTTCCAAAACCCCTAACAGTTGAATCTCTTATTTAATTTCTGGAGCCTTCCATCACATAGATAATCTAACGTGCGAGGTTTTCTTTTGAAATGTTGCGAATATTTAACTATACATAAGGTGTGCGTAGTAGTTGCTAGAAAAAGTGTTCTAATCTTGCTTGTCAAATATAAAATTCTTCATCACGCGGTAAATCCATTCAGTTCTACAGGTTAGGAGCCCAGCGAGCAGGATTTGAAACCCATAGGAAATAATGGTTCCGGTTCCGCACTATTTAGACAGAATTATTTTTTAAGGGTTCAATAATTTTCGGTTCCGGTTCCAGTCGTTTTTTCAGTTTTAACGGTTCCAACGTAAATAAATAAAATTTTTATTATTAATAAATATAAATTATTATTAATTATATAAAAGAAATAACACACAGCATTAAAATATATAATTCTTTTGCATAAACCTATTGTGATAATCCACTTTTATGGTTAGGCAACACACCTTTACATCTGAAACAAAAATATGATATGCTCTGTATATAACCATCGACCGTTTTGCGCAGATGCCGAATATTAGGGGATTTTCGTAATACAGTTCGATCTTTCGCTGTATCTGTTGCCTACTCGTCTCGCGCGTATTGCAGTTCTTAGCATCTTAGCAATGCGAGTAGGGGCCCTCTCATTAACATTTCCTCTATTTAAAATATGTTTTGCTTGAGTGATAATCGATTTTCACATGAATACTTGCTATTGGCATTCTCACATGTACTTTTCGTGTTAAATAAAATTATGTTAATGGAAGGCTGAAGTAGGCTCCACACCATTTACATTGTGATAACCCACCCTGATGGTTAGGCAACACACATTTTACATCTGAAACAAAAATATAATATGCTCTGTATATAACCAACGACCGTTTTGCGCAGATGCCGAATACTAGGGGATTTTCGTAACGAAGCGA